AAGATCAAGTAGGACTAAGACCAGCAGCAAAGAATGTGGGCTATAATTTTATTTTATTATTAAGTACATAGTGATTTGATTATAGGTTTCAGCTCATAAATTTTCCGATGAACCTGGGTCCTGTAGTTTACTTTCGCAAAATAGAAAAACTCAAATAGAGTGGGGAAAAAATCAAATACATTTATATATAATCCTGGCATATGTCAGAACTAAAAATATGATTTAAAATGTATGGGAAATAAATAAAATATTTAATTAAGATTTTTTACTCTAGTATTTAGACTAGAGCTCAGTATCCTATCATTTGACTTTCTATTTATGGATTTTCTGTGACCAAATATATTTAAAATTAAAACTACCTCTTGCCATCAAACTCCCTTCTGAACATCTCTCTCCCTTAAAATGTAATTAGTTTCTTTCTGCTACTAAAAAATTTAATGCTCTCTGAAGCCAAAGCTTATTTCGGTATCACCTGCTGTTTTGGAGTATCTGTACCTTTCCTCCTGCCAGTTAGCATGGATAGTCAAAAGTGAACTGTAAGGAGAAATCTTCCATTTAGGAAACATCAATTTGTACTAAGTCTAATCTAAAAGATTAATATGGAGCATGTGGTACATTCGATAGGAAGATGGCATTTAAATATTAATACTAGATAAATACACTCTTGCTGCTATCTTTGATAATTTATAAGTCATACACTTCTAGAAGGAAGTAAATCACTTTTTTCTTTTATGCTGTTGCTCAGTAACATTATACAGCAACATGTCAAACAAGGCACCATTTTCCTAGTCAGATCTGACAAGGGGAAGTGAAATATTGGGGTCCAATTTCAACCTCATTTCCTTACAGCCTAGATTTGTGTCACATGCCTGATCCTAACTGGTGCTTTCCAAATTAAATGTATATTTCTCAAACCAATATCTTAAGTGGTAATGTTCCAACAGTCCAAATGTCGATTACCAAAACAAACATTTGTTTCTCTAGCAAGTGTTTTCACACAAAAGCATTTGATTCACGTACTGCAGCAAACAAACATTTGCTTTAGGCAGTTAAGGCAGCCAAAAGTTCTTGCAGAAATATTTCACAGGCTGGCTGGCATTCCTCCCTGGAGCAGGGCTCGCTGAGGTCCGAGAATTGCTTGCGAAGCCAGTGACTGACCAAGAGAATCCTTCGCAAGACACTGAGGCCATGAGGAGGCGCAAGCATCTTCCAAAGACATCTATTGAGAAAATGTGCTTCTAATTATGATGTTTCCATTAGAAAATGTCTTCATGTCTTCACAAAGCTTCATTTGTTAATATGAATTCAGCCTTTGATGTAATCACAAAACCAAATTTTTTTGAAATTTCGCAAGGCACTTTCACATAAAAACATTCATATAGTTCAGGAATCATTATTTATGCAGCAACCCCTGAGAGTTCATTACATAAATAGTCCTATTACTACATTAAATTTATTTTCTCTCTGAACAAGATGTAGATTATATGTGTAAATATGTTTTTCTTAAGCGCATGTCTACTTTGCTGTCAAGATGCAGCTTTCACATAAAATTCCTCTTGTTTTCTATATTATTTAAATGCTTTTGGAACGAATCAATATTTCTGAGAAAGTCATTTACTTAAATATAAGTTCTTTAAAGCAGGGGGAAATTGATTCTTAACTTCTGCTCCAAAGACAGAGTTTCCTAGCAACCAGGTCAAGATTGATTCTTGGCTAGCTCTAAACTGAGAATAGTTACTAGCTCACTTACAAGCAAACTAAGAGGAGTTCATCTTAGATAATTGAATGAATTGAGTGAATTGGATTGAATCAATTGAATAATTGAATGAATGAATGAATGAAAGCACATGCACACACACACTAAGTTGACACTTAGAATGTATTTGATAGAACACACTACAATTTGGACCTCTAGCTAAGCAACTTGTAAGAAGAGTTTGCTGACTACTTTCCATGGGTTTGATTCTATTTTGGCATTGATGGGATGGGGCAAGTATGATGCAGAGAGAAGGTAAGCAACCGTAATCATGGTAACAATTGATTTAGCATGTATTATGGCCTGGTGCATACAGGTGAAATAACTTGAAACATGGGCAGAAAATGGCAGATCAAGGTCGAACCCAGGTCTGTCTTATATTAGAACCCTGTAGACTATCCTGCCTTTACATGGGAAGCCCAAAGCATTTCTGGTCTTCCAGAAAATTCCAACCTCACTGTAAAGAAAACATACCCAAAAGGATTAGGGTGTCACCTGAGAGAGTATATGTTTAAGGAAGGCCGTGCTAAGGACCTGACTTCATGAAGGAGATGGAGCTCAGGCTTGGCCTTGAAATGGGTCGGGAGAGGTGAAAGCAAAAAAGGAGGGGCCTTCAAGGTGGAGCAGCATAAGCAAAGGCATAGGGGAGGTGGTGTTATTTGGTACCTGTCAGGCTTGGGGTGGCAGGTTGGTGTGCGGGGGTGGCACTGAGTGGGTAGGTGGGTCCAGATTATGGAGGGCCTCGCAAACCAGGGTGAGATGCAGAAACTTGATCCAGGAGGGAAACATGGATTCGTTCTATGTTCTTGAACATTGGAGATCTGATAATCATCCCCTATAATTACTAGAACAAAGGGAATATGCATTTTCTGTTGAAATAGCTACTGCCAATATGCCAACAGGATCTTAGAGTTTTTCATCTGCCATATTTTCAAACATTTTAATATTTCCTAATATTTTTTTTAAATAATATCCTTTTTAAAAAATTTTGTGCATCTTTGGCTTTTGATATGATTGTGCATCTATTTATAAGTTTACTAGTTATTTGCATTTATTTTTCTGTAAATTCACGTTTGAATTTTTTTCTTTTCTCATCCTTATGTGTAGTTTTTTTTTTTCCTTGTTGGTTTATAGAAGCTCTTTATATATTATGGTTTCTGTCTCTTTGTTTATCATATATTTGCAATATTTTCTCAGAGTATTGTTTTTCTTTCAACTTAGACTATAGTGTGTTGTTTTCCATATAGAAGTTTTTACTGTATATTTAGCTAAAAGTACAAATCCTCTTTAAAATAGACACTGTGCTTCATATGCCTAGAAGGAGATGCCAACATTATAAAAATATTCCAATATTTTCTCCTAGAACTTAAATTTTTTGGTATATTTACATTTCTATACATTTGATACATTTGATCCATCTGGAATATAATTTGATTTAGGTGTAAATTGGAAATTTGTTTTTATTTTTGCTACTGATTTGAAATACCTAATTATCATACGTTAATTTTCTATATGTGGGTCTGTTTCTGATCTTTATTCTATTTCCTTATTCTTTGATGACATGGGACACTATTGGCTTAATTATTATTGTTTTATTTTTTAAAAAGTCCTGATAAAACATAGTACAGTGGTTAAGAGCATAAATACAGTATAATAGATAAGAGCACAAACTCTGGAGCCAGTTGACACTTTATTGCTAACTAGTACTGAGACAAGTTGCTTAATCTCTGTTCCTCAGTTTCCCCATTTTAGAAATGAGGATAATAACAGGATGATTATGAGGATTTCATGAATTTTTCTTTTTTAGAGAGAGAGAGAGAATGCGCACACATGTGCGACGTGGAGATGGAGGGGCACAGGGAGGGGGAGGGGGAGAATTTTAAGCAGGCTCCATGCTCAGTGCAGAGCCCCAGGGCTCCATCTCATGACCCTGAGATCATGACCTGAGCCAAGATCGAGAGTCAGGCACTTAACTGACTGAGCCACCCAGGTGCCTTGGATTTCATGAATTTCTACATATCAAAAATGTTGAGCAGTATCTAACATATAGTTAGCATTTATAAAGGTGTTGGCTATTATTATTTGTCGTAACTTTTCTCCCTAAATTTTCTTGCTTTCCTATGCATCCTCTGGATGGCTTTTATAATCAGTTCCTAAGAGGGCTGATGAAGAGTCTCAAAAGGCAATTCTGTTCCTGCAGTGAATCTGATGTCAACTATTAAGATAATTCATTTTTCCACCTGATACATAGTAAGCACTCAATAAATGGCAGTCATTATTATAGTTGTGGTTATTATTTTGGAAGGAATAGCAATGGTGCAAAGTGAATACATTTTCCTCAGATGTCTCATTCTCCTTTGCCTGGAATGGAATCTATGTAGAGAAGGGAAAGAAAGGAAGCCCACGGGTGAGGGATTTGGGGAGAGAGCCTGGAAGGAGCAGCTTGTCTTAAATTTCTTTGGGGGAATTTGTAAATCAGTCTCTGTTGCCCATCGGCCATTCTCCTCAGTAGCCCCTGCGTTTAAAGAGTTTTTACGAGAATTAGAAAAAGCAACCCCTCCTCTGTATCTCATCCCTTCCTCCCTGGCAGAAATGTCAGTTCATCAGAGATCTGGGCAGGGGAGTGGGGCTAATGCTCCCAGAAACTGTACTTGGGGACTAACACAGGCTTTAGCAGAGTTGTTCTGCTCTTTAGCGAAGGCAGGAGTCAAGAGACCAAACTGCCTACAGGTGCCAGCAGGCAGAGCAAATCAGTGGTAGTCATGAACATGCCCCAAATTTTTGGAAAACCATGTACCTCTTATCAGATTGTTAGGTTAACATCTAAAATTTTTAATCATATGCTTAATAGTTATTTCTTAAAAGGTAACTAGTAGTGTACTGTAAAGGGTAACACTTTAAAATAAATAATTTCCATCACTCCAATAGAGTTTAGACCCCACACCAATTTGATAACCACCATCAACCATAAAAAGAATACACAAACAAGTTCTTATTTGAAAAACAGAAATTTTACTTCCTTTTTCTCCCTGAATTCATATTTTAATTACTCTTCCCCCACAAAATTTTATTCAACTATAATGTTTGATTTAAAGTGTTTTATTCATCACACTCCATACTTCTCTGCAACATAAATAAAAATACAAATTAAAATAATTTCCTGTGACCATCAGGCCATAGGAGTTAAAATATTTTTCTTCTGGGAAAATTGATTAAAATAACCTAAATATATTTGTAAATTTTTCTGAATCATATTCATCATAAAACTAAAATTTTATTTAAAACGCCTACCTATACGAGATAGATGGCATTTTATTTCTTCCAATTATTTCACATATGCACGGATGAATATTACCTAAGATGAGGTAAGGTTCCGCACCAAACCTGTTCCTATGTTTGAAGTTTACAGATATAAATGCTGAGAAAACTGGTTTATATAAATAAGTAAATGGGAATAGAAACTCTTTTGTTAGAGCAACATCAACATCAATACTTGGAGTTGTCTGATTGTCCTCCAGGGAATTGTAATACTCTGAGGCAATGCACGGTAGTAAACCTGAGATGGGTCAAAAGGGTGCATTGCTTTTGCATAGCAGGTTGAGTTCTCTGGAAGCAGATGCTGAGACAGAACGTGGGGAGCGGGATGTTTTCTCAAGATCAATACACGTGCAAAGAAGGAAGAGGAAGCAAGCCTGCATGAGAGGAAATTGGTGACAGCTCCCCAGCAGGCTGCTCTGAAGTGAACACTGCCCCTCGGAGTTGTCTTGGAGACAGGTACCCCACATGCCCCGTCTCCAGATGTGGGGCTGTCCTGGGAAGGGTGTGACTGCAGTCAGGGTGGCCCCCTGCAGCTGAGGCCAGCCCTGAAGGAGCTCCCCACAGAGAGGAATAAATTCATTTTCTAGGTCCGCCAACTTGGTGGCTTCAAGTCACAGAAATTTATTCTCTCATAGTTCTGCAGGCCAGAAGTCCGAAATCAAGCTGTCAGCAGGGGTGGGTCCTTCTGGAGGCTCTGGGGGAGAATTTGTTCCACGCCTGTCTTGCAGGTCCTGCTGGCTCCCGGCACCCCTTGGTGCCCCTTGGCTTGGAGACTCATCACTCTGCTCTCTGTCTGTCTTGACATGGCCTCCCTTCTGTATCTCTGTAGCTGTTTTCTGTCCTTCAGCTTCTTATTAGGACATTTGTCACTGGATTGATGATCTACTGTAATCCAGGAATTAATAATATACAAAAACCTTTATTCCATATAAGTAACATTCTGAGGTTCCAGATGGACATATCTTTTGGGGGTCATCTTTCAGCCCACCATAGGCAAGTCCTTTGTAGAAGGAATAGCTGGGCAGCATTATTTCCACATCTACTGTGAGGTGGGACAAGGGTGATCATAAAGGGGACCTGAGAGGGAGAGAGAGAGAACAAATGTGAGGGCTCAGAAGGCAAGCAGGTTGCCAAGCAGATCAGCCTTAGAAATGAGAACATATGGAAGTTGAGTGTCTGGAAATTGATATTCCTTGGAAAACCTTTGTGTATCCCCAGGGCGACGACTGCCCCAGGGGCAGTTTGAGGATTTAGTTCAAGCTGATTATTCGCTCGTAGGAATATGTAGGAATATAGGCCTCAGGTTGCCCGACCTCCAATTATTTAAGAGAAAGAGAAAGTCACACTTTAAGTGATATCTCCTTCTGTTTAAATGTTGTCAACTAATTCAAAAGAAATAAACTGTGTAAGCCCCAGAAAAAATGTTTGTGGGCTGACTATAGCCACTGAGGGAACCTGGGCTCCATATTTCTGTCCCTCCTCCTACCACAGCAAGGAGAAGAAATATCAGCACATTTTCCTTTGATGGCCCCAAATTTATCTTCTCACCCGGAGAGCTGTATCAGTCAGGGTTTCCCAGAGAAACAGAACCAAAGAGATAAATGTGTATTTATATGTGTGTATACTAAGAGATTTATTTTAAGCAATTGGCTTAAATAATTGTGGGGGCTGGCACAGGGCAGTCTGGAAAGATCAAAACTTAGGCAGGAGTTCAAGTTGCAGTCTTGGGGCAGAACTTTTTATTCTCCAGAAAACCTCCGTTTTTGCTCTTAAGAACTTCCAGTGGATTGGACAAGGCCTGTCCACATGATTGAGCATAATCTCCTTTACGTCCAGCCACCTGAGTGTGGATGTCAACCACATCTACAAGACAATCTTCACAGTGACACCCAGATTCGTGTTTAATCAAATAACTGGGTACTAGAGACTCCCCAAGTCTGCACATAGAAGTAACTACAGCAGGAACCATTGTTTACCATGTTGAACTGAAGAACCTGGAAAGGGAAAGGATCATTCAGGCTACTGGCTCAGTAGCACCTCATGGTATAGAGGAGGAAGGTGGGACCCAGGAAGGGGAAGTGACTTCTCCAAGAGCACACAGCTGGCTGGGGAAACGACAACTCAAAGCAGTGCTCTGGCCTTCCAGAGCAATGCTCTTTCCATTATCTTACCTTCACACAACTCAGTGTCTGAAGACCAAAACTGTGGCATTTAAGAGCATAAAAAGCCCCTCGGGGGTTATAACGGGCCAAGCCTCTCATTTTATGATGAGGTCCAGAGGCATGAAGCCATAAGGATTTTGATTCCTAGTGAAGGGCATTTTCCACTATACTACACAGCCTTTCATACAAGGCAAAGATGATCGCACTCAAAGTAAACTCATCTCTGTTAATTCTTGTCTTTCAAAACATCCTCTCTAATAGGAGTTAGCTTTCCTATCCCTGACATCTCATGAGTGTGTAATGACCAACAAAACAAAACGAACAAAAATGGCACCTGTCCAATTAACTGAAAGTTGAATTTGCTGAATGCCAATCAACATTTTTCCTGAAATTTTTGTGGATATTCACTAGTTATAATTCTAGAACAGCCACACCAAGAATTCCATAGCTCCTTCATGGACAAACCTTTCTGCTACACTACTCACTCTCCTAGAAAACTAGAGGAACATCTCCATTAATTAGCTCATAACAAAGTAAATTCCAACTCTAATCAATTTATGTCACATTATAACCATTGCTCTGGCTCAATCAGATACCATAAGTCACATTTCTGAATCACCTTTGGAGGGAAGCAGGATATCCCCCCCAGCGTGTCCCCCCAATATGCCACTTTGGAATAAGGATCATTTTGAGCTGAAGGCAACTGAGAGTTGGCAGACACAAGGGGAGGTCTCTGCATTCCATTGCTCTGCCTAAGAACGGAGCATAAATGTTCCTTCGTGATGACACAGAGATGGGTCTGCCCCTCATCAATTTACCTTCCCTCCATTTACCTCCCCCAGAAACCCAAACCACTCTTTCCCAAAACCACAAAATCTCCTCTACCTCGCTGTCTCTTCCCCACTCCTAGTTCTAAAAAAAAGAAAAAAGGGAGAAAGAAGAATGAATATAATTTTATATGGGGTTCACTGTTTCTCTAGGCAGCATGGGGTAGAATAAAATCTATGGGTACCGCATGTTCTCTGAAACAACAGCGAAGGAAAAATAATGTACCAAATTCTATTTATTTTCACAGCCAATTCTCTTCCCACAGAATCGAGGTCTAGAATCCTGATAGCAAATTTAACAATACCAAATTCTTTATTTTCCAGGATAAAGAGGTTTGGGAAATGGCCAGTGGAATTTTCCAGTTCAGTTAGCCACAGTGGGGAATGTACATTGTTACACAATTGCAATGAAGTTTAGTAATGAGCATCACCATGGAAAATTAATAAAAGCTCAGTATAGCCCAGCCCATTCAAGTAATTGTCAATTAAAGCTACAATCAATACCGAGGTAATAGCTCATGAACAAGGATAGTTGGGTACTTACTTCATTAATGTCGCAAATCGATGTCGACCATTTGGGAGTAAGTGCAGAGAAATGAGCTCATATACTGGAGGTAATCATATTTGGAGAATTTGCTGGCTAGAAGTTGACTCGGGGATCAGAGTCTGCAAAGAGACAAATGTCAAGGAATGGCCCAGTCTGGTTGGTAAAGTGTTCTGGTTCCTAGAAGGTGAGACCTTCTTTATTCCAACCCTTGATGCTGAAATCATGTGAAAGGACCTTGGTCTCTTTTCTGATACTTAGAGCACTGATCAATTTACTGTTCACCTGAGTTCCCTGCAGGTTATCCGTGTCCTCCTTCTGCTATGAAAAAATTATTATAAAAATATTTCCAGGCAACCCTCCCTGAGCTAGGTCTGTTTATTCAACAGGTGGACCTTTAAGAGACATATGCCTTGAGAATCATCTCCTTAGGGTCTGCATCTGTTGGCACAGTGTCTTTGCCCTACCCGCACCCTCCAGCCCCTCCTGCCCCTGCCCTACAAGAGCACTTAAAACAGACATGTACATAATATGAAGTTAGAATGTATTCCTAAGCCCGAAACAATTATTAAATTATATGCCTAATGGAAGGAGCCTGATCCCATACAGAGTATCCCAAATGGTGCGTGTTGTTGACTTTCCAATCTAAGCTGAACACAGTACAAATCTAGCACAATAATCGTGCTGATAAATTCCACCACCCCCTTATTGTCACCTAAAGAATTTATTTTCTTTGCCCTTATTGTCTGAGAATTTATGCGTGTCTTTCTTGCCTCCTATTCGTCACCCAAATGTGCAGCCCGTGGCGTCGATAGTTCAGATGTGAGCATTTCACAAAATCCTTGTAACTCTGGATGAAAAAGAGAGACACGGTGACAGGGCTGGGAGCACAGAGTCAGCGACAGGGCTGGGGCAGAGGGCTCAGAGGGGATTTTTCACGCCAACCTCCTAGGTTGGAGGCTCGACCGCCTTCTACCGCCCTCATTGGCTTATGAGACATTTCATGAAGCTCGCGTGTTTGACCCTTGGAACTCACGGAAAGCAGATACGTGGGCCAAGTGGCAATCGTAGGTAAGACTAGGGAAGCAGCTGCACTCGAAGCCCTCAATCTAAGAGCATCTCTTTCACAGAAAAGCAGAGGGCAGTAAGCGGTGGGGAAATGAATGTTTATTGGGCTCCTACTAGTAGTGTGGGGCACGGAACCAGGTCCCCAGACGTCATTTCACGGAAAGAGCCCTCAGCTAGGAGGTGGGAGACAGGATTTAGGAGCCATCTAGTGTGGCCTGGGAGAAGTCACTTAACCTTCACCCAGCCTCCATTTTCCCATCTGAAAGCGATGTCAGGGTCCAAGAAGACAATATACGCTTACAAAAAGATAAAGCTCTCTCCCCTCAAGCGCTTGATCTCATCAGAGCACAGATCTGGGTAGAACATCCAATGAATTTAAACTGTGTTTACGATCATTCCCAAAAGACACCATTTAAAAAAGAGATGTTAATTTCTGTTTTGATTTCGTCATGATTTTTTCTTTTCCAAACCAAGCGTCCGCCGCCATGAAGAAGCGATTGGGGGTCTGCCCTGGACGCGACCGCCGCGGAGGCGTCCGCCCTTGCTAATTCCAGGGGAGCTCTAGCCGGGGGCACACACTCGCAGCCAGAGCCAACGGCTTCCTGGCCCGTCTCCTCGTTTTTATGGCCCAGGAAATGGGAGGACCCCGGTGGAGTCGCCAGCGGGCCCTGGACGAACCCTCCACAAACTGCACACATTTTTGTGAGCGTGTCTGCCAGGAGATGCTTTCTTCACAGAGTTGAAATATGAGGTGTTTACTATCGCACTTCATGAAGATTCTCCCCTCGTTACAAATCCCTCCTCTCTGGATGCTTCCCTCCCCCTCGTTTTGGTCTAGGAGGGCAGAAACTTGCTGCACAAAGGCGTGAAGGGACGGTGTCCCCTGCATTCTGAGTGACTCCTCTCCAGAGGTGTGCAGGATGTATGCACGCGCCCGGCTCCACCAAACTCAGACACTATGGGGTCCCCGCCAGCTTGACCTTCCACTGCTCCCCAGCCTCCCCCAACCCCTCTAGGGTCCTACACGGTCATCACCAGCAACTGGCGGATGAGAATTCCTCCCTGGCCCGTCTCCTTGATGGGATTTTGTTCAGATATGCCTCGATAATTCTCCCCCGGGGGTGTTCCAAGAAACAGCTCTTCGAAACTCACAACTGTGTTGTCTTAGGGGTGTTGTTATATACTATCTCACAGAGAATCTCTTTATGAAGACTCATAAAAAAATTTCCTTGACTCAGTGCTAGAAAGAGCTGGGCCTTTCCTAAGCCCCCTAACAAAGCTTATTGTTATTGTCCTTAATTTTGTTTCTGTGAATCTAGCAGCTGAACTTTGCGCTCTTTGCACCAGCTGCTAGAAGTAGTTCTATTCAAAACGACTCATTAGAGGTTTTAACCATTCACGTTAACCCTAATTTTATCTCGCTTCCCTTCTCTTTGCATTTTCTTCCTCTGATTTCCTCATTTTTTTCATGTTTTAATAATATATATAGTTCTGTGCAAATTTCAAAACAGCTGTTGGATGGAATAGAAATACCTAAAAAGCAGACCGTCAATTCCGACATTCATGGAGCACCTACTGGATGCCAGGTACTATGCTTGGTCCTGAGGTGCATAGATAAAAGCCCTGGGGGAGTCCCGGGCCTGGGTTTTGTGCAGTGCCTCATGTACCCTGGGGCCTGGAAGCTGCCACCAGGCAAACCACGCTTCTGTGGAACCCAAGGGATATGGGAGCCAGAACCATGCCGAGGAAGGGCCACCTCCTCTGGTTCTGTGCTTACGGGTCCTTGTTTCCTTCCCATACTTCCTCCAATGTGCAGGAATTGGTTTTCTGAGTCCTGGCTATTTGTATCTGTCTTTTCTCTAGAACGCTAAATCTCTAGCGCTGTTGGTACCCAAGAATGCCAAGCAGGAGAGGGATCTGAAGTCATGTTCATTGACCAGAGGGATGGATGCAGGAATGCAGCTTTAATCCTCCAGCTTTTAAAGTCACCCTTAGCATAAGATCCAACTCATTGGATCTGTAATCAGCTTCGTCATCTGACATCCATCTACCCCCCACCTTCGGACCTCCTTTGCTCTGCCGTCAACCTTCCTCCTTTTACTATTCCCAGTGCTTGGAAGGTTTGCCTCCAGGATATGGCTAGGCCAGATCCTTCTCTTCTTTCAAGTCTCAGCTCAAATGTTACCATTTGAGAAGCTTGCTTCCCCATGAAAGTACCACCGCTGTTGGCCCCTCCTCCATCGCTATGGATTGAATGGCCCTGCTTTCTTTTCCTTCCTACCACTCATGTTGACTGCTGGTTCCCACACAGACTACTGAAATAGCCTGCTGATTGCACAAAGCCAAATTTATTGCTTAGTGCAGTAAGAGATACTATCACTTTGATGGAATCATAGAAGCTTCTCAGAAGGAAAAGGTCAAGGGTGGAATATTGATAGGATTTGGAGGGTCTAGTGTACGATGGGTCTTTCAATGGGGAGCCCCGATTGCAGTTGTGCAAAGTGTGTGACAGAATAGTCAAGGACTGATTAACACAGTGAGCTGTGGGCTTTGGAGGGAACCTTGAAGAATATTCAGCCCAATTGAGTTGTTGAGAGAAGGGGACGACTACCCTGATCTGCTGTTCAGATAAATGGGTTTTCAGCAAGTTCCTAACACAAACAGTAACACTGTTTGCAGCTTCATCTTTTGGGGCTGGAATTTTCCAGAGTATTGCAGTCATGTTAATGCTGAGTGCCAGATAGTTTAATTGCGTTAGCATGAACAGTAAGCTGTGTGGCTATAATAGTTTTTGTTCTCATTCATCACTATATGCAATTATTATGTTTATCTATTTACTCTTTTATTGTCTGTCTCTCCACCACCACCATACACTAATACAATTTCACATGAATGTAATTCTCTATCCTGTTCATTTCTGTATCCACAGAACCTGCAATGGGACCAGTATATGGCTACTGACTGTAAAATTTAAAGAAAAATCAGGACTTTGCCAGGGTTCAACACAAAGGCCACAATGCTGAGCTCTGGTTTGTCCATTGCTGGCTGAAGTCCGACGACCTCCTTTTCTGTTCAGCAGGAGCCTGTACGTGGCAATGTGGGGATTGTGTTTGGGCTAAGGGTGCTCCCAGGGCCGAAAGGGTTTCATTCATTTATTTATTCACTTGATCAATAAGCACTTCTGGAATCCCTCCTATGGGGCTGGCATGGTTCAGGGTGTTGGTGCAGCAAGCATCTGATGGCTAACTGCTGTCTGCAAAACGGAGGAGTCTGAGAAGCTCTGTTCCTCTCACTCCCCTGTATGCTGGGAATTCGAGTGAGCATTTTTCAGCCATTAAAAGACCTGCTAATGGATGATATTTAAAGACAGTAAAATATAGAGTAGTAAGTATATAAATATAATGATATTTAAAATAAAATGTTTTATATGCACACACACACACATACGCACATACATGTAATGCTATAGGGGAAAAGCATAATAAAACCCAAATATTAGGATGCTTGGTATAATCCCAATTTTATAAATATATGACTGACAATAAATCACACATACAGATGTACATATGGAATAGATCAAAATGTTAACATGTTAACATTGGTTAACAAATCTGGGTGGTAAAATTACGACTGGTTTTCATTTTATTTGTCATATTTCTCTGCATTTTTAACAGTGAATGTATGCTTTTTAAAAATGGTATTTGAAAATGTCACTTTGCTGTTTGAGGGCGGAAAGGGTGGGAGAGTTGCCAAACACATGATGCCCAGTTAGATCTGAATTTCAGACAAACGCATTTTTCTAGTAGAAGGACGAACCCAATATCACATAGGCCATAAGAGTGCTAAAAGGTGTTCATTGTGTTTGTCTGAGAGTCCCATTTCACTGGGCGCCCTGTGTTTTTGTTTGTTAAATCTGGCAACCCCCGGGTTGGGGGTAGTTCCTCAGTATCATCTTGGGAGCTTGCACAAACTTGTTCTCTCCCCCACCCCACACATAGCCAGATTCGGATGTGTCTGCTTACCTGCCTGTCAACATTCAGAATTTGAGGTCTTCTCCTGAGGTTGTCCCAGAGGCGGGGGATGAAAGCGGTATTGCGGGGGGCACTGTGGTCTGACAAAGCCTGAAGGGTGTTTCAGTCACGTCTGTCCTGTTCCCTGGTAGAACTTACTGCATTTCACACGGTGAGGACAATTTTGGAAGCTGTTGAGCCCTCCTGACTGTGTTGATCGGGCTCTTTTCATAACTTTCCTATTCACAGAGGCACTGTTGGGTCGACTCTTCGGGAAAGGGCAAGCTGCCTGGCAATGACATTCTGGAGGCTGTGTGAGGCCTCTGGCCCTACAGATACTCCTCTGAATCCCTGGATCTCCAACAGACCCTGGGGTTGGGACAGAGAGAGCGTTGCCCCCTCCCTCCTCCCGAGCACAACGGTCTTGGCAAAGCCACACATGAAAGGCCAGGAAGCCGACTGAACTGTTCTACCCTCTGGGAGACTCTCCCCTCCAGCTTTACCACCTGGCCATGGAAGAATGCCTTTCTGCCAGCTGACAAATGTGTCCAGAGAGGAATCCTCTCTCAAGAATGAAGTATCTGGGTCCCCGGGCCAGTGGCCGTGCACCACCAGCCTGGAGCCTCTGGAGAGCTGTGAGGAATCCACCGCATTGCCCTTTTGGGAGACCATTGCCAAAGACCTAAAATAACCCCATGTGGCAACACCTCACAAAATAATACTGGAGATGCAAACAACTAAACATTAGCGAGAATTTGTAAACATAGACTTCAAAAAGGTGATGATTAACGAGGTGCAGGGCAAAGAGCAACAGAGAAGAAATAGCAGGCTTTTAAACAAGGCCCCCAAACCCTGCAGGCCTCAGTTTCATCCTCTGCAAAATGGATGGGTTGAACAAGGTGATAGAAAAGTGCCTTCTAATTTTGATATTCTGGAACATTAATTTGGAGAATTAATTAGGGGGTTAGTTTCTGAACCAGGGAAGCAGAATAATGACTCAAATAAACCCAATGTCATTTACCGAAGCTTGCATTACAGAGGGAGTGGAGGGATTGATACTCCTCTGGTGTTTACTTGGTGCCAGCCATTGTACATGATGATCTCTGCTTTATAACATCTCGTGGGTGTCAGTATTATTATCTTCATTTTATATCCAGGGAAATGGAGCCACGAGGTTGTTAAGTGACTTTCTTAAGGTCACACAGCTGGCAAGTGCAAAGCCGGGATTTGAACCAAGTCTCTTCTCCTGAACCCGCTGCCTGTCTACCACATCGTGTAGACTGTCCTTGGCCACCAGTGTGCCTGGGTTGGAGCTGAAGTGACCTGTTCCTGAGCTCTTACCAGCACCAGGTGAGGTACAGAGATGGGGGCAGAGGGAGGTCCATCCAGAAAGAGATACTCCTCTGGCCACTGTGATTAACCAATAAACTCCGTAAGTAAGGAATTGCCTATAAGCAATGATCAGTCACCAGGGACAGATGCCAGGAAGTACCTTTAAGGGCCCCGTTTTCCAAATTTCTTCTCATACTTATTGTCTGACCCCTGAAATATCTTTAATAACATCCAAAGCTTTTTACTGTGCAAGGAAAGAGTATATTTTAAATACTCTTGAGTCTCCCTTCCCCATCCCCTACTAAGAGAAAAGAAGTAGCCTGGGCATTTCAGCCACTAATTATCTCTAATGAATAGGTTTTGACTGGGCAAGTGGGGAGAGTTGTGGGTGGCCTTTTTGCCTGAATGAAGTCACTGGGAGAGAAAAAGAGAGGCTGGAAAAGGAGGAGTCAGAAAGTCTACACTGATTTTAGAGTAAATATTCAAGCATACTTGAATGTGGTCTATCAGATGAATTATTTGGCTGCTGTGGGCCCTGATCTTTGCAGCCCACTAAGGGCTAGTCACAAGAAAAATATTAAGTAAAAAGATTGGAAACAACCAATGGCAAAGAATTTGGTTGGGCAAGCATAGAAAAGTTCCTTAATTTGTATGAGCAGCTGCCAATTAAATGGTGTCACCCACCTCACTCGGAGGAGGTGGATCATTTTGGAGTAGATCAAATGAAGAACCCTTTGGGCTGTGAAAATGTAAGACAAGAAGGCATTCACCATCTTGAACCCTTTGGATGGTGTCCTAAGTTGAGTTCCCCAGGGGCAGACTCTGAGATGAGAGTCATGAGGAAGTGGTTGATTAAGGAAGTGCTTCCAAAGGAAATGGGTAAGGATGGGGAGGAAGCAAGACAAGGAAAGGAAGGAAACCAAGCAAGGATTATGAAGTAGTTTCACCCTGATCCCTAGGAAGAAACTTGGAGTATTAATTTCATTTCACCTCCAGCCCAAGGCAAGGGACCTGGTGAAGGGCACGGCAGGACCTTAGTGAAGGGCAGTTGGGGGAAGATGCTAGATATAAATTCCCAGGCACTTCTATCTCTAAGCAAATGCATACTACTTCTTGCCGATATGGACATATGGTGCTTCAATATGTTAATTTAAGTTTCAAAAACAGACCAGGTGAACTTCTGCTTTCTAGTCCAACAGGTAAAGAGCTTGGAGTCTTCACTTGTGTCTTCGTGACAAGAAAAAAAGCTGAACCCACAGAAAATCAACATCTCTTCTTAGATCCAGCAGAGAACTGGGGTCACAGGGGAAACTGCTACTCGGAAAACTGGACAGACAGATAGGTGAGTGATGAGAAGCACATTACGTGGAGCAGAAACCCTTCACTGCAGGCAGTATTGGTAGGAATATTCTAAACTATAACTGGCAAGTTGCTGAAGATTCGGTGTGGATAAGCATGAGAGTCTGAAACTCTGAGAGGGTCCAATTTTAGGGAGGACTCCCTACATTTGTGAGTTTTGTCTCCATGAGTTCTCCCAGGTTCTCAAAGTGAAGATTGAAGAAAAATCCCCTCATGCTTCCAGCAGGGGGAGGGGAAAATAACCATTCTGAAATACACCCAGAGCTCACTCTTCCCCTTCACAAGACCTGCCCTCAAGGGAAACTAACTTACAGTGTCTAATCTACTGTGGTTTTACTGAAGCCTAACCACCCTGGGGAAAGGGAAAATACCCAACTCAGGTTTACTAAAAACCTAAAATCTAATTATAGGACGATAGAAAAATTCCCCTCCCCCCACACCTTATTACCACATCAATCCAGCTTCTGTACCATAACAGAGGATTACAGCTACAAGAACTACAGGCCTCAGACCCTATTTAAAGTGTCTAGGAAAACCCAAAACAACAAGGGAGACAAAAACAAGGACACTAGAAAGCATTTTAGTTTCTGAAACCACAGCTACAGCAAACAATAAACACCACCCAGCTCCTAGTCAGATAAACATAGAACTTCACACTGAAGGCCTATCTAATTGAGCTCTTTTTATGCAATACTTCATGTCTGGTTTTCAACGAAAAATGACAAGGTGAGCTAAAAGGCAAAAGAAAAACACCCCTCACAGTCAGAAGAAATAAAATAACCATCAGAACCAGACACAGACATGGCAGAGATTTTAGAATTAAAATAACTATGATTAATATGTTAAAGGCTTTAGTGGAAAAGCGGGCAACATGCTAGAACAGATGGGTAATGTAAACAGATATGGAAGCTCCAAGAAGCAAAAGGAAATGCTGGGAATCAAAAACTCTGTAAAATAAAGGAAGAACGCCTTTGGTGGGCTTATCAGCAGATTGGACACAGCCAGGGAAAGAATCAGGGAGTTTGAAGATATAGCAATAAAAACTTCAAAAAGTGAAATGCAAGGAGAAAAAAAAATATGGAACCGAATTAAGAACTATGGAGCTTTTGCAAAAGGTATAACATGCATGTAATGGAAATATTAGAAGGAGAAAAAAGGGAGAAAAGGACAGAAGAACTATTTGAATGGTAATAATGGCTGAGAACCTTCCAAATTAATGACAGACACCAAACCACAGATCCAGAAAGCTCAGAGAACACCAAACAGGATAAATACCAGAAAAAGTTACACCAAGTATATCACATTTAAACTGTGATAAAGATCAAGAGAAAATCTTGAAAGAAGCCAGAGAAGAAAAAGCAACTTACCAACAGAGGAATAAGGGTAAGAATTACATCAGACTTCTCTTCAGAAACCATACAAGTAAGAAGAGATTGGAGTTAAATATTTTAACTGTTAAAAAACAACAACAACAACAACAAAAACACCAGCCTAGAAATTATCAGCAAGTAAAACTATTCTTCAAAGGTGAAGGACGAATAAAGACTTTCTCAGACAAAAATTGAGGAAATCTGTGGCCTTGCAAGAAATGTTAAAAGTTCTTCAGGGCCACCTGGGTGGCTCAGTCGTTAGGCGTCTGCCTTCGGCTCAGGTCATGGTCTCAGGGTCCTGGGATCGAGCCCCGCATCGGGCTCCCTGCTCGGCGGGAAGCCCGCTTCTCCCACTCCCACTCCGCCTGCTTGTGTTCCCTCTTGCTGTCTTTCTCTCTGTCAAATAAATAAAAATCTTAAAAAAAAGAAAAGAAATTGAGAAGCCGTTTTCTCTGTGGTTTGGATACCAAGGCTTGTGTCTGAGTGGTCACAGTCGGCAAGCCCAGGAGAGCCGGAGAGGGCCTTTGAGTCAAGCCTGTCCCATCATTTAATATTTTAGGGACAGGAAGGAACTACAGTTTACATGCTGGGTCTTTAAGAACAAAGTCTCAGGAAAGGTCACTCTGTAATGTTCTGACACAGAGTAGGTGGCTCTCTCCAACAGAAAGAGGAAGTCTCTCGGGTCCCCGGCCTGTCCCTCACAGTGAGGGGACAATAGCAGCAACACGAGATTCTATCTCGGGCAACTGCAGACCTCCCTGCATTCACGCTTCACGTGTCTACAGAGCTTGCCCTGTGCACCCGCTACAGTAATCGGCTTTGCTGCCCTCTGACCCACGAGAGCCTCACTTCAGCCTTGGGTGTTGTTAGTAATGCCCTGCGTTTACTCCTCAAGCCATGTTTTCCAGGCAGAAAGAGGGGGAACAAAAGGACATGAAGAAGGAGAACATGTATCAAGTTCTGCAGAGAGAACTCAGACTAGAAAGGGGGCTGAGCTTAAAAATGATTCTAATTCAGTGTGATGCATGGCGTAACGGCCTGCAAGGCACCAGGGGAGCTCAGTGGTGGGCTGACCTTGGGGCTCGGGCTCTGGGAGGAGGTGGGAGGGCTTCAGGAGAGGGGGCTGTAAAGGATGAGTAGGAACTCACCCGGCAAAGGAGAGAGACCGTCTTCGGGCGGGAGCGCCTGCAGGTGCAGGGGCTCTGACCCAAGGAGGGGCAGCTGGGAGGGTGGCCGGTGGGAGTGGCTGGAACCCAGGGTGGGAGGGGGTCAGCAGCAGTGCCCAGAAGAGCCTGGCATAGCAGTTTGACAGGGACGTTCCTTGATTGCTAGGCTAAATAGTTTGGATTTTTATTTAAAATGATAGGGAGCCACCAACAAGTCTAAAGAGGAGAGTGACACAAATAAATCAGCATTTCAGAAT